CTAGCAAAGGATGGGCTTGGGATGATTGGAAGAATCGCATTTGGTTTTTTCAAAGGTACACGCTTTCCTACTTGTGTTCCACTAGATCTGGCACACTCAGCACACTCGACCTCTCTTCCAGGATCTGAACTTGACAGCGACTGTAAAAAATGGCGTCTTGTTGCGGATATCTTAAACGACTTGGCGTTCTTCATCGACCTCCTTTCGCCAGCTTTTCCGGGTTCATTTTTTGTCTGCGCCTGCACATCATCTATACTCCGTTGTGTTGTTGGTGTAGCCGGAGGAGCTACGAGAACTGCCATCATTCAACATCAGGTACCATTTTGTGACAGATCATCGTTTTATACATTCCGTGGTAAACAAATGGGCGGAGACCCACAGAAACTGCGTTTTCCGCATCGGTGCACTCCTGCTTCCAATACGGTAAGAAAGAAGGGTCTATCTATGCGTTGAAGTGGGAAACACCGTATCTGCGAGCCTCCGACAATTCCTACAGTCTCCAATTGTCGCGCAATGTGTCTTTATGTTGTATTATATTCAGGCCCGTCGAAATAATCTGGCAGATGTCGCTTCGAAGGACGGCAGCCAGGAGACTATGGTAAACGTAACGGCACTTGTTGCGTCATTTATTCTACTACCTTTGGTTAGCGGAAAGCATACGATCATTTGGTCACTATTTCTGGTACGATTATTTGAAAGTTTTTTTTCACGCGTTCATCATTATTAAGTTTTGAAAGAAAGAAAGAACTGGGCTAAGTCGTCGAATACGCCCCAAAAAAGGTTGGGTATTTGACAAGAGGCTGCTGCGCGGGACCAGAGACCAGAGATGGGAGAACAGGAAGATCACAACACAGAAAACAAAGCAAGAAAAAACCAAACACGGAAGAAACCAGCAAGCAGTGACTTGCTTCTGCATACGTCCCCTCCAAAACTACCAGAAAATCTCGTTGAATGGAAAGGAAAGAGGGAACAATCTTGGCACATAAAAGAAAAAGTAAAAAAATCTTAAGACGAACGACCCCTCCCAGCGACCAAATACCAAGTACAGCAATAATGTGGCCGGTTTTGCCGAGGCGAAATAGGCGTTGACGCCGGCGTCACGTGCATGGCATCAACAGCAGAACCTAGTTGATTCAATGCGGCACTGCCGAGGCACGTCACACGTTGGGGATCACCTGCGAAAGGAACATAAATTAGTCGCCGGGGGGGGGGGAGAGGGCACAGGAGGAACTTTTGAGAAGTGTATTTTAGTTGCAGAAATTTCGCCTGCAAGAGGCATGATCGTGCTCTGTTTACATAGTGCAGTATTGTTAAATCATACCTAGCTAGGAAATATTTCGCTAGACTGTTGCGCGTCACCGCAAACATGGAACTGACATATAGGCACAGCCCCTTGAGAGATGGGCAATCAACGAATAGGTGAATCGTCGATTCTCCTATGGCGTAATCTCCCATTTCATGCTAAATCTGCTTTTTGAGATGATTCCCAGCCTTTCCCCCGGCGGACTCCACGGCAGCGCCAGTGGAGCAATATCCATAGGGTTGCGAAAAGTAATTGTTGATGCCTAGCGAACGTTTCAAGCCCAGCAGCATGCCAGATGCAGACATGGACTGAAACTTGCACTTTAGTAAACTATTACATTAACTGAACATTTCTTCCAGGTGTTCACTCTCATACATTTGTATGCAAACTATCGAGCTGTGCGCTCGTTAAACATGGAAACCTTGAATCTCAAGCGAGCCGCTCTACTCATCAGGTTTGTGAAGCAACGCTTTCCAATGAACTCTGTTCAGCGCTACTCCAGTAAGTGACGCACTAGTTCGTGCGGAATACGGTGGTTCCAGTTTTGCACAAGAAATCCTTCACAATATTCCATGATCGGCTCCCAGTTAAGTCCCTCGCAGTTGCAAGGTGTCAAGAGTCGTTCTACCGTCGGTCTGCTGCGGATGAGATGGGGGGGGGGGGGAAGGAGGAGTGTCAGGTGGGATAGTTTGACACAGCACCAAGCCAGTTTTACCCAGTATTTGGAGCCTACAAGCGACAAGACTGTGTCACATCGTTCAAATCAGTTGTTTTCCTCCTCTTGGTTGTCGCTTAAGCGCTCAGCCCACTCTGCGCTCGACAACGTGCTTGACGCCGCGTTAAACTCATCCCGCCTGGCACGCCCCTTCATACGCAGCAAGAGCGCATGCCATTTTTTCGACTTTTGAATGCTGAACAGCTCTGAATGCTGCAAGGTTCGGAGAAACGCTTGCGAGCCAAGATGTCTATGTCTAGATTGAAGATCTCCAAAGTCTGGGGTCTTATCTGTTGTGGCTAGATATTGTTAAGCGGTAATCTGTTCAAAATTAGGTGGTCATTACTTCTTGCTAGTGTTTATGACAAAAGAAGATGTTGGCACAGTCATGGGGGCGTCTTGCTTGTTTCTCTCGATCCCCACTGCCGATACTCTGTGGGGACACTGTGAAGCTAATGGCAGTGTGGGGCTTCTTTTACCTTCAAAATCGATTGTACTGCAGCCTACCAGGATGAGACTTGTAATTTGACACGAAGACAAAAAAAAAAAAAACAGCGGAAATGCCAATTGCCTCCCCCCGCCCCCCTTCAGGCCGAACTGCGGCAAAGATTGATGTACTGCTCGCTAATGTCTCCGGCTTGACGCACCAAGATACCCGACCTCAATGGAATAGCGCTGCCAATTCTGCTTTATTTGTTCCATTCTGACGCGATTTGAAGGTTATGCACCGGCTCTTTTTTAGGTCCTGGTTGGAAAACGGTAGAATTCTATCCGTTACTGAATGTAACAGAAGCGAGCCGCTATTTTCATCGTTCGGAACGAGATACCTTGGATGTTCACTGTCGGACCTGCTGTATTATCAGAACAAGTAAGCCATTGAAATATGCCTCCCATCATCAACAAGAAGACCCGAAAATTTCCAATTTAAGAGTACCATCTGCAAAACTGCGTACAACTGACGAATACACATTGCTTATCGACACACGGAGAAACATTGGTTGGGTGGCACTAGCTGATAATGGGTCCATGC